TGAGTTTTACTCGTATTATTTGTTGTAAACATTAGAAATGTTATTTAAGGAACGTTACGATTATTACAATAACAGCGTGTTACTTTGTTTAAACATGATCGAATTTTACGAAAAATTTTTAATAAATATTGTGCTAAAACAATACTTTTTGGAGTTTTATCCCTGGTTTGTGATTTATATCAGACCTATGTATAAGGAATGCAATTTATTTTTTCTTATCAAGAGAAACTTGCTCATAATTTTTTTCACTGAAATGTTCATATTCGCTTCTTTTATACTAAATGGAAATGAAAACAGAGCATTCGAGTTACAATTAAGGAATGACTCTAATTCTTGGCCAGATTATCGAGTATAATATGGTTTGGGTCAGTTTACGCTTTATAATCCGCGAAGCGGATTATAAAAAAGCGTAAACTGACCCAAACCATATTATACTCGATAATCTGGCCAAGAATTAGAGTCATTCCTTATAATTTAATTTTAAAATAATTAAACAACGGGGGATGTAAAATTGTGTTGTTTTAATTAGTTCAAATTTACCGCGCAATAATACAACCGTAGTAACGGAAGTGATGGGAAGCAAGGGGAGGTAAAAACTGATACATAGATCTAGCAGCCATGATGCTTGTTTACATGAGGTAAGATCGAGCAACTGTTTGAAGTTAAAGGTACATTCATTAAATCTGGAATTTTTCATGAATCCGAAGGACTGGAAATTAGGGGATTGATGGATACAGATGATTCAGCTGGTTGTCAAGGGGGTGTGTCCCCATACCAAACCAGATTATACAAAATGTTATGCGTTCCTTTTTGGAAATTAACCAATGAGAGACAAGAATACAAACAGAATTAAATTATTGTTGTATAAATATATTTACATTCACTGCATATTTCCATTACTTTTAATGACAAGAAACATATTGACGCAAGCGTCAAAAATCGGCCGCAAACCAATTTATATAACTGTTGAAATTATTTCAGAAACTGAAATTTGCTTTTTTTTTTTTTTTTTTATTTTTTTTATATTTATCTGTTAAAATATCCTCGTGACACGAAAAAAAAAATGCATGCAACAATGCCGATTTTCTTCATGCACAATGCATGTACAATATTACATGTATAGTCAATATAGACTGTGCATATAGTCCTCTGCGTCTCTGCACTCAGTTTGGTACAACTTAATTTAACGAACTCTTGTGAGTTTGCTGTTTAAGTAGTCTTTACATAAAACGTACAAAACTAAAGTTTGAACTCAGCTATAGTTTTACCTTAATAAAAACGCAACAAATATATAATATGTGGGGCTCCTCACTCTCTCTTAGAGGATGTTAACCCCCCCCCCCCAACTCTTTCTAGATCCACCACTACATTTCTTCTCTTTCAATCTCTTTGTTTTGGTGTTGAGATGTGGCGGGAAAATGTTTGGCACATTGTAAAACGAGCTCTATCCTAGTCTCCTGGACTAACATGTCGTAATATTCTTTGCTTTTTAAGAAATCAATATTTCATCATATTTTTGAAAAACATCCATAGGAAATGTTTAAATATACACTTCATTTCAAATAAATACAGCAGATCCTGTTTTAAAAAGAGAAAGTAAAATTGTTGATTTACAACGCGGGCTTTGTTTTAGACTATGCCTAACACTCGTACTAATTTTCTCCGCACTTCGGTTATATCAGAGTTTGTCAATCAGGATTGGATGAAATATTTACCCCATTATTTATAAAATTTAATATTACGATTATTGTGCTTTTTCCTAAACATTTAGACAATCTTTGTTTAATATTGATCATGTTGATTCACCGGCGATATGAATGTTAAATATTTTTATTTAAATTGTTAACTCCGCAGAAACGCACAGCGACTTAAAACTTTCCAATCTCCCATGCAGAGTTGTCGTTCGTTCCTCTCTCAGACACCTCTGCAATGGGCTCACGTCAAGATTTTTGACATAACATATAAAACGTGATATTTGCAGGATTATTTCAAATTAAATTAATAGTTCTGGATTTATTTAGTAAATATCTATCTCGAAACTCAGACATAAGCATAGAAATTGAAATATAATGAATTAAAACAAACGCACTATTTCTCGTGTTTATCACTGTGATATACGCGAGCCAACGACAGAGGTGAATGTATGAGCCGATGGTAGAGAGTGAAAACTTTCATATCATATAACCGACCGCCTCCTGGCGGCCGGTAAAAACTTTGGCCGTTATCAATACGAGGCTCATTGAATAAGTAATGCAACATACAGTATATCATAATAAATGTTGAGGCATTTATTTTTATTTTTTCACAGTTGAAAAGATCTACTAAAGAGGTCCTAAAGACAGAAAACCCCATAAATTTTCCTATTGTCTTCGCAAAGAAATTCACTTTCAAATTAAGCATGGTCACTACACTGAGCGAAAAACTGTTTAACGATCTCTGCCAAGAAAATGTAAATAACAGCATATATGTGAAAACTGCTTTTTTACATAAATCGCCGAAGATCTCATATTTAAGATATGTTGTATACTTTTCAGATGGATAATATAACTCAGAAGAAAAATAAGGAGAGTTTAATACTAGTATTACAATCTATCTGGCCGATTGAAATTTGGGGGGACACGAAAAAATATCGATGTTACATGTATGTGCCACTTGATATCTGAAAGTGCTAAAGAACTTTATTTGGTTATAACCAATATTTGCCCCCCCAAATCAAACTTTGATGGAGATATATTTAATTAAGTTCTTAAACAGGGGAGTATATGCTGACTTCAAAGTACTGAATATTTTCACAAGTAATGACGTCATATGCACGTAATGACGTCACAAACATGACGTAAATTTCAATTTTTCATGAATTCTACAGAAAAATGTACATATTTCGTCGATTTTTTTTTAGGAAAAGTCACCGAGTGCATGTGTGTTCAGGATCGATATTTTGAGATAATGTGTAGAATGATAATATCAATGAAATATGTAAATATTGTTCCTGAACAAACTTGCGCTCTATAAATTCTAAAGCTAAAATTGTTGAAATTTTGTCCATTTTGTCCTCTTTCTGAAAAAGGATATGAAATCGGACTAGTTTGTGACGTCATAAAAACAAAAATTGTGAATTAACTGCTTTGAAACTATAATATGTTCTGTTTATTTATATTTCTCATACAATTTATTGAATTCAGCACATTTCAGGAAGTTTTCAAAATTTGACTTTTTTGGGGGCAAATACATGCAATATACCGCATATAGTTCTTTACTTGGAAAGACATCGTAAAGATACTGAACATAAAATCATCACAGCATTTTGTAGAATTTTGACAAAGAAAAAAAAACAATATTTCTATAAGATAGGTGGCCTATTTTCTAACAAATGCCTTAGAGAAAACATGCGGTAAATTTGGCAACGGTCTATTTAAGAAAATGTTTTTTAAATACAAGATTTGATAATCTTGCTTGAAAAATGACAAAACATAGGTGCACTTTTCATAGCCGAAAAATAAGATTAATAGTAAAAAATGTGGAATCAAAGAAAATGTGTCATTTTATTAGGATAAAGAAAAGCAAGTGTTCCAAACATTTTTTTATTAGTTTTCGTGTATTTAGAGAGATCCATTAGAACATGTGCATATATCCAAATGAAGGACTAGCAATGATAACCTTTATGTTCGAATGGCACCAAGTAAAGTTAAAGTCATACGCAACGTAGTTGGAACTTTATTTGGTTCTTCCCTGGAGTTGATTGATTGATTGTATGTTGTTTAACGTCCCTCTCGAGAATTTTTCACTCATATGGAGACGTCACCGTATGCCGGTGAAGGGCTTCAAATTTTGACCTTTACTCGGCACTCAGGGCCATTGAGCAGTGAGGGATCTTTATCGTGCCAACGCCTGCCGCTGACACGGGGCCTCGGTTTTTAAGGTCTCATCCGAAGGACCCGCAACTTTCACTTCAAAGTGCCGAGCGCATGGCGAAGGAACAGTTGCTACCAATTTTAACGACTAGGTCAGTCGCGGCCGAGATACGAACTCACGACCTCCCGATCACGGAGCGAGCGCTCTACCGACTGAGCTACCGTGAACGGTTCCCTGGAGTTGAAGAGTTCCACTAAATGAAGGACCCGTGTGCAATACTTTTAATGTCTATATATGGATTTGTACACATATTCTAAAACAATTTTTGATGAAAAAAAATCTGGAATATATGTTTTGTAATTTTTGTGCATTTTTCTTTGAATAATGGAAAAATTTTCACAATTTGATATCTTTTCAAAACCCTTGGTAACGCATGCTGATTTTTTGTCAAAGAACAAGTAATGGTATTTTAAGTTTAAATTTAGAATATCTTGAAAAAGTAGGTGAGGTATTGCGTATGTCCTTAAGCAGATTTTTTGCAAGGGTAGTCCAAATTTCGGTGACCAGGGTATTTTTCCTGTGCCTGACAACGCAGTTGCATAGAGGCTTCGAGAAATAAATAAGATTTTGAAGAAAATAAAGTGAACAGAACTTTTCCATCGGTCATATTAGATTTATCGAAGACACTGTGAGATTTTTTTATTCCCAAAACACATGAAAACAACCAAAGCAAGATTTTACAATGTCAGATATTTCATGAGAAATGATATTCGTCAGTGCCTTTAGGGAATCCCTAAAGATGGGTATGCTGAGGTTTTCTGTGCATGGATACGAAGACAAAATACATGCGTAAATGGTAACAGGGAATGTCTTGAAGGATGGAAATTTTTAAGAATATGTATTATGTACTTTTTCATATTTTTTGAATGATGATATGTTTCATTATTTATTGAACGACTCTCGTACTTTAAGCGACTTGTATAGATTCTTGTGAAGGTGCTCGTTTGTCTTTTAATTCTGACATATTTTTTTTCTTCCATAAAATCTGGAATATGACGACTCGGTTAATTAAACAGTATCTCAAACACACTCGTATTATACTCTGTGTGATTATCCACTTAGTATAACAGCTATAGTGAGTGTCGCTTCCGTCTTCCTGTAAGGAAGTTGATCCTCTAATAAACCGATCGAGGGAATCAAACACTTTCTTTATTTATCTAAAAAAAGGTATAAATCAGGAAATTTTCTGGCCTTGGTATGTATATTGCTTATATGCATGTTCATGTAATTCATTCATTACACGAAAGATATATATCATTATGTAAACTCTATGGTCTGAATTAATGGTGTCAAACAATCTTGAGTCGAATTGACGGGAACGGCAGATTTAAATCGCGTGCAGTTTGGCGCTGAAGGAGTGACTATGCAAATAAACATGACACTATATACAGAGGACGCGATCAGATCTTTCCATTGGTACAAATATTGATTTTGCTATTGGCTGTCTTTGGCACTAATGTTAAACAATGGCACAATCGGTTGACTTAAAACTGTGAATGGCATATCAATTATCCAATAACAAAACAGCCAAAGACTTCTCTACCAACAGCTGTCAAAAGAGAATTATAATGGCACCACTGGGCTATTAAAGATCATCAATGGTAATCAATGGAAACCAACGGCAAATGTTTAGTTTTTCACCATTTTTCAGAAATGACAAATTCAATACGAAGTCTGTTTTGTTGCACTGCTAAAACTGTAACAGTATAAGAGATAATGTATGGCTGGACCGGGAATCGAATCCCTAATCCCGAATCCCTAGGCAGGTGCTCTACCGTATGAGCTAACCAGGCCTATAACCACATTTCAAACCATTACATCTCTCCCTCCTGAAATGGTCTTTACCCTCGAAGACACAGCCCAAGTTCTTATTAGGGCCAGACAGGGCTTTCACCTGCATTCCAGAGGTGGTCAACGACACCAAAAAACCATTAAAAACCTAAATTAAATAATTCTTATGGAAATAACTTTATGAACACTTGTATTCAGTTGATATTCTTTTGCCAAAAAGCGTTTATTTGTACAAATATACAGGCAAAAGTGGCTCACATAAATTTCATGTGAATTCTTTGTATGAAAACGACACGAAAAACAAGACATGTAAAATTTATGTGAAAACTTCATGTGATTTTGACATTTCATAAATTTCATATGAATTTACATGAAGAGCATATCGCATTAATATCATGCAAAGAAAACTTTACATGAAAGTTCAAAAAAAGATTTGTGTGAATATCATATAAACTTATATTCACATGATATTCACATGAAAATATATTTTATATAATTTTCATATGATTTTCACATAATTTTCAAATAAAAAGATAATCACATGAATATCACGTAAGCCTCTTTTCCCTGTGTATGCAATATTACGAAGAGATAACAGTTGTAAAATTGTTCTTTCTAAGAAACTTCACCAGGAACGGTCTCGTTAGCCATCTTGTTCAAATGGCGTTTATAAACGAAAAATATGCGTTAGTAATTCAACCGCGAATGTGGTTGGCCTGTAGAATTGGTAACCAATAAATGTTAACATTGGTCAACCACATTCTCGGCACCACTAATATTAAGCAATGGAAGCATTTGTGAAGAATTTAATCAATTTATTGCCCAGGGAAGACTTGACGGTCTCTATAAATTTGCTGCGCGAATCGACTGTCATGTCTCCCTGTTCAGCTAATTCCTTAGATTGTAAATACAAAAAAAATATTTACATAATCATTATTTATTATCACTAGGTGATTTAGTAAGTCAGTCATTAACCTTGAATTAATCATTTCCAGGAAAATATTGTATCAATGGATTTCTCAGATGAAGTTCTGCAGATGTACGCAGAAATCAAGGAGAATTCAACATATGATTACATGATCTGCAAGTTTAATAATGGTCGACTGGTCATTGAACACATAGAAAAAGTGGAAAACGATAAATCAGGTACATGTATATTATATCCTCTTTAGAGGAAAAATAAACTTATTACAGGGATCAAGGCGAAGTGAAAATCCCTAAAGGAATGTGCTTCTCATAAACCTGCTTTGAGACAATATTTAGATCATGATCTCCAATGTTTATACGGTTAGAATTGAAAAAAAAGTTTTCAAAATATTCTCTCTGACACCTGTTATATGCAGATACACGTTTCTCATAATACCCCTAAATTTTCTAGTTGAAAAACCATGTAAATTCGGGCTGACGTTGATTTACATTTCTTTTTTATAAGCGCATGATCACGTCAAATCAAGCATTGCAGATTACTGGTTCCAGTGTATCAATATGACTAAAAAGACTCAATTTTTGTTGTGAGATCAAAACACCAATGTCAGAAATTTTAAAATCTTATAAGATCATGATTTCCTTCATGAAATAAACTTTTATTGGCTAATAATTAAAAGATCATTGCACGTCGACCTCTTCTTTTCTTTCTCCATTGAGATGTAAAATACTTGAATTCCCTGAATAATTTGTTGTGTAAATAATGGCCTAACAGTTAGTTTGAAAACGTCAGTTAGCTTATGACTTGATGATAAACTGTATTTGCTGTCAAATTCATTGTATCGACAATAGAACTTACGAAATTATGACTTTAAACGAGACTGTCAATATTCTTGTTTCATCAACTTGTTTGTCAATAACTTTCCTCGTTTTAGGATTCTTCATACGTAGAGGATGTTATTACTTATCGAATCAACTGATATAAACCCCACATACAGATGATAAGGGGATAAGGGTATATTTCTGCGTAGGTAAAGGAAGTTGAAGATCGAACACTTTTAAAAGTCATCACGTTTATCAATAAGGTTTGTTGTTAGATTACCAACGTCTTTTCCAGTAAAATATCTAAATCTAAATATGTTTAATATGAAACAGAAGTCTCAAATCTGTGGTATCTTTTATTTCAAGCTAAATGGAATATATCTTGTCGCAGGCACGTAGCATCAATTTTGAAAGTGGGGGGGGGGCAGCCACAGAATTTTTTTTTTTACTTATCTGAAAAAGTTGACAAGCAAAAAAAAAAGAAAAAAAGGAAAAATTGCCCAAAATCGAAAATCCTATTTCGTGGGGGAGGGGGGGGGGGGGGGGGTAGAGGCAAACTTTTTTCACTACCAATCCCTTCCAATATCCATTTTTTAAGCTTACAATACTATATTTCCTTCATATTACTTTATACTAAAGTATAAAGTGGTGTTGCCAACCAGCCTTTTAATGAACATTTTCAATAGTAAAAGTATTGTTGGCAAAAAAAGTGGGGAGGCCAGGCCCCCCTGCCCCCCCCCCCCTGTTGCTACGTCCCTGTGTCGACATACATTGTAGGAATGGAAATAAATATTGCTAACAATGTGTAACATTTCGTTTCTAACTTAATCTGTATTCATAGCGATTAACCAATTTCATAGACAGAAATTACTCGTACGAAGAATTTACAAAGAAGTTAAAGGGAAAGCAAACATTTCGTTATGGGTTTGCCACTTTTGATTGGATTGAAAACGAAGACATCTCTAGAAAGACAGTAGGGGTTTTATGGTACGTATAAAAATAGTTATACGTTAATACACATTTAAGTGCATTGAGATATCAACATTACATCTCGTCTTTTATAACACAGATGTGTTGATATGTTTGTGATATTTTCTTTTTTTCTTTACTTCAAATCACATCAAATAAATATAAAAGCATACAAAACAATGAAAGAATTAATAACGGTGACAAAGAAAAGTCCAAAAAATTAAGAGAGAGGGAGAGCAAAACACCAATCTACAAAAGAAACAATAGCAAAAATATTGAAATCAAAAATAATACACATCACGTTAGATATCAGTGCACACCACTTTGTTAAAATTAGAAAATAAAAATTGACCCCTCCAAACTATTACAGAAAAGATTCGTCTTATTCATTTTCAAACATCGGACATACTGGGGGAAAATTACACAGAAAATATGGCTGAAATACGTTCCGCCGACTTGGTGATAAGCAATAAACAGTAATCAATCAATCATAATCTATTAAAATTGATTTTGTCTGGGAAATTTTGTCTGGTTATTATACCTTTCGATGAATTCTAACTCGTTAGCTCACCTGAGACGAAGGCTCAAGTAAGCTTTTTTGATCGAAATTTGTCCTTTGTCTGTTGGCGTCAATTGTCGCTGTATAAACTTACACTATTTCATCTACTTCTCCAAAAATACTTGGCCAGTTTCAACTAACCTTGGCACACCGTATCATTGCGTGAAGGGTATTCAAGTTTGTTTAAATGAAGGGCCACACTTTTTTCCAAGGGGGGGATAATTACCGGTACGAAATAGCAAAAAATTAGAGGCATCATTGAAAAAGTCTTCTCAAAAATCAATAGGCAGGAAAAATAAAACTCACGAGGTATCATTGTTAGGTAGTGTAGATTCAAGTTTGATCAAATCATTACTTCCTAGGGTAGAAAGGGGCCACAATGAACCATCAGATATTTATATAGGAATATATATATAAAAAATCTTCAAAATCTTCTAAAGAACAGCAATGCAATGATTGGTTAAAACTTCGAGTATTTTGATGCATATTTATATAATTTAATTCTGGTTGTAACGCTGTATTTGATTGGATAAATAATTTACTGTATATCGTATAAAATGGGTTGCCTACGTCACAATGACTTGCGTCAACTACGAATCAATCCGCCTGACGTTACATTCAAATTTTGTACAAACTGAAGTCATTTTGTTAGAACAATCAAATTTTTTCTTACAACAAATGAATGAAAATTAAATTATAAGCAATGAATTTAATAGCTACCCATTTTATACGGTATAAACTGGGTTGGAACAGTTTACGCTTTTTTATAAACCGCTTCGCGGTATATAAAGCGTAAACTGCCCCCACCCAGTTTATACCGTATAAAATGGGTAGCTATTAAATTCATTCCTTAAGTGAAATGAAGGACATGGATATAACGAGATAACGAACAATATTCAATATCAAAGTCCGTAAAACAATACAAAATAGGAGCAGAGCAAACACGGACCTCCAAAACTTCAGGTGGGATCAGTGCTATGGAGGAGTGAGCATCGCCTGCGATCGATCACACCTGCCATGTGCTCCTTGTCATGATCAGGAAATAACGGAAAAATCCGTCGTCAATTCAGTGTATAAATAATGGATTGACAATAAGTATGACAAACGTCAGTCAGCATTAGACTCAATGATAAATTGTATTTGCTGACAAGATCGTTGTATCGACCATATAATTTACAAATTGCTGACTTTAAACGAGGCTGCTGATATGCTTGTTTCATCAACTTGTTTGTCAATAATTTACCTCGTTTTAGAAACTGTTCATAAGTAGAGCATGCTCTTGCATATCGAATCAACTGAGATATATACACTCCGTACGCAGGTGATGAAGGTATATTGCTGCATAAGTAAGGGAAGTTGACGATAGAAAAGTTAAAGTCATCACGTTTATCACAGAGCTTGGTTGTTATATTACCATTCATGCGCGGATCTAGAGGGGGGATCGGTGGGGTTGGTATGAAAAAATCATTTAAATTCAAAAGTCAAGCCCCCCCCCCCCCCCCCACACACACACACGAAACAGGATTTTCACGTTTGGGCAAGTTTTTTTTATGCTTGTCAACAAATTTCTGACGTTGAATTTTTTTTTTGACTGGGTTGGAGACAATAAATATCTCTTTCAAGTAAAATATCAAAGTATAAAACAGATCTGTCAGACTTTGTGGTATCTTTTATCTCAAGCTCCCCAGGATGTAACGTATCGACACAGGAATGGAAATTACCATTGACATTACGTCGTCGATATATCTAAATGTCGAGTTGAAGGCAACAGCAAATGTTTTCTTTATATATTTCGCGCATAAGATTTTGCACAAATTCTATTCTATGAATACAACAATAGGTCTGCTAATAACGGAGCGCAACTGGTACCCATGGGAATTCCAATAAATTGTTGGAGGACCTGGTCTCCAAAAACCACATAGAAAGCATCCTCAAGTGATGCAGACTCAACTCAACCCCTCCCCCAGGGAGCAAGATGGTGCCATAATAGACAATTAAAGATTTACATAGGAATATATTTCCTCTTCAGTATATCAAAGCAATGAATAGTCATATTTATATAGAAGCATCCTCCGATAGTGTAGATTCAAGTTCGTTCAAATCATGAAGCCTTGGGATAGGTTGGGGCCAAAAGGGAAAATCAAAGTTTTACATAAAATCTTTAAAACTCTTCTTCTCCAGAACAGCAAAGCCATGATTGGTCATACATGTATGTATATGAAAGCATCCTCAGGTAGTGCTGATTCAAGTTTGTTCAATTCTTGACCCCAGACATAAGGTTAGGCCAAAATGGAAATTTGTTCAATTTGTTCAAATCTTACATCCTCCAATCCCTCCCTTTCCTTTTTAGGGGTACATGAAGGTCAGGACCACTTATGCATTTTAACCTTTCATTAGTAAACTGATTTTTTTCCCTAGCCACAGTGCTCAAGTGAGCGATGTGGCCTCTGGGCCTCTTGTTCTCGAAGGAAGTCACAGGTACCTACAGAATTTGGAGGACGCTATATTGAAACCCTGAAATTCGTTTTACATGCAGATTTATGCATAGAAACCTCCAGTGGGTTGGAGCTTCGCAGTTCAAGTATAAAATGGTCTTTGGTATGTACCGGATATATAGTTAGTATTTATGGATTAACATGATACTGATTTAATATTACTCATTTTATTTTTGTCAACTATTTTCCTTTTTATAATTCAGCTCTGTTTGATTTCAAATTAACGATGTAATCAAAATAGACAAATGGAATCATCCGCACGTATGTTGAAAAAATGTTAAAAAATTAAATCAAGGATACTGACTTACATTTCCTTAACCATTGATTTTCAAATTAAAATGGTTTAATTTGTATACATATTATTCAACAGGTTCGGACCAATTGCCCGACGGGGAAATACCGGTTGTAGTCTGTTTGGGATATACATGTAATATCCCAGATGGGTTACCGGTATTTTACAGTGCAAAAAATGAAAATTTTTATTTTGACTGCATTATGATACTTACAAAGGAATAACTTTTGCTAACCAAATTTGTCTGTATGACCATTGTTTAGAAGATTGATCACTCGGAAATTCCTTAACTTCTTGAGGATCAATCTAACAAACTGTAGGGTTGAAGAAAAACTTGCTTGCCAAAAGTTAATCCTTTTAAAGTATTTTGATGCAGATTTATATTTATTACCAAAATAAAAATTATCATTTTTTACATTGTAAATTTATATTCCATTTTGGGATAATATATCCCCAACAGACTATTATATCCCATTCGGGCGATTGGTCCCAACCTGTTCAATTGATTCTTGTGATTTAATTGTAAAAAAAATAATGTCATTTTTTAGGAACGAGATAGACGAATGGATATTGAAGATGAAGTATTGCAAATGTATTATGATATCACAATCAATGGGAGATATGATTACATGATATGCAAGATCAATAATAATCGACTGGTCATTGAACATATCAAACAGTCGTCAAACACAGACCCAGGTAAAATAATATAGATAAACAGATCAGTGTTAAGATATATTTCAGACTTCATGACCAATTTAGGAAGGGCTCAGTTTATCATATATGCATATTGAAAATTCATTGTACATGTATTTTTGAATATATGCTGTTAATTACATGTAAGCATATTTACTACCAGGGTTTCCATGAAAATGACCCAAGATTATTTGCTGAGCTCAATGATAAGGAAGAAAAAGCTTAACAGAGTTATCTTCATTCGGGGGGGGGGGGGGGGGGGGGGATTTCAAACATAACAGCATTACGATTTAATTGATATACATGTAGTGTACTGATAGATAATGAGAGTACATATACATATGTACATAAAAGAAATTTATCTTTAAATAGACAGATCAGATACATATGAAGATTTCAAAAAGAAAATAACAGAGAAACAGAGTTTTAGATATGGGTTCGCCACATTGAATTTGACAGTTGACGGAGAAGTTTGCAAAAAGACAGTTGGTATCGCCTGGTAAGTTTAATCAATTTTATTTCATACAGAAATGTTTCAGCAAACATGCATGATTTGATATTTATTAGTGTACAGCATGACAAAATGAAAAAAAGGAGAAAAAAATCCCTGCTACTGTATATGAGCAACAGATGTTAATAAACAATAATATTCGTGCATCTATAAATATGTTACAACATAAAATACATCTATCGATATACAGTACAGCTTTGATGCTCCTTTACAAAAGCATTTCTTCAAAAGGAGATATGAATTAAAAATAATGATAAATACAAATATATAATTATACATATATAACAAAAGCAAAATAAAACAAATAATTTAATTTTTTAAAATATCCGCCTGTCGGACTGGAAAAGTGACACTTTTATAAAAAGCTTAGAACTCACTTCTTCAGATTATATATACAACATTATGAAAGAATTATGAAAGGATACATTTTAGTAAAATTTAAGTAGTATATAAAGTCATAATGATCGTTTCACATTTAAACTTGTCTTCTGACATACCCGAGTACTATTCTATACTATTATTGAATTTGCTAGAATCGGTCAGTAAACACCAATTCAGACGAACTCAATATCGTTGCAAGTTAAAATGTAAAAGCATTTTGAGAGTATTGCATATAAAACATGGCACCTGACGTTTTGGAATTCCGTGTTCGCTCTGCTCCTATTTTGTATTGTGTTTTGGAATGTTTGTTATCTCCATGTTTTACTGTCCCCTACCGGGTTCCCTTTTTCTCTTTAGGTTGCCATTTATAAATATCCTGTATATAAAAAGTGCCCCAAAATTTGGACATTTCGATAATTGCTTGTTTATGATTGAAATGTCTTGCAATATTAAGTCGATCTGTCTTACGATGAGAAACGTCTACTAATGCCATCAGACATACATGCTTTGGTTAAACAACTCATATAACAGGAGTAACAAAACAATTATATAAGAAAAATCAAACTTGATCTATGGTTTGTCACTTACAGCGAATTACAAAATAGCAGTAAAGTTTTCAATAGCTTGCTGGATAGCTCAATAGGGTATTTAATTTGGTCTAACAAATATCACATTAGGTTTGAATCTAGGTCACAAGGTTACTCAGGCGTATCATTAGATTTTACAGGTAAATGTGAGTTGATTTAAATGTTGTATGAAGCCACATGTATGTGCCAAAGTATTCTGCTGTAAATAGATGCAATACTTTTCTTCAATTGCAAATATTTTCTGCAGAATTAGTGAATGACAGCCCCTTTGTCCATTCTTCCAAAAGGTATTATTTACAGCAAAATACGAAATAGTGGTTAAGTTTTCAGTAGCTTGCTGGATAGCTCAATAGGGTATTTAATTTGGTCTAACAAATATCACATTAGGTTTGAATCTAGGTCACAAGGTTACTCAGGTGTATCATTAGATTTTACAGGTAAATGTGAGTTGATTTCAATGTTGTATGAAGCCACATGTATGGGCCCAAGTGGTCTGCTGTACATACATGCAATACTTTACTTTAATTGCAAATATTTTTTGCAGAATTATTGAATGGCAGCCCCCTCTTTTCTGATCTTACAAAAGGTATTATTTAACAAAGTCAGGAAGTTAGCTCCCCACTCCAATTTTCCCTTTTATGGATTATACATAAACAGGCACATAAATTTATTATAAACAGAATAATATTATAAATACTTGGAATGATATAAATAACACATATAAAATGTATTAAATTATGATGAACATTTCTACACCCATCAAATTTCTCTATATTCATATCCGTTACTCTCTGAAAAAATATCTCTGAAATTTGAATTGATTAAGAGCTTGTTTTACAAAAGAACTTATGACTAAGATTGGGTACTCCTGCTATATACATGTATTCTATTCTTTACATTGATTCAATTCTTACTTTATTCTTTCATATTTTAAAAAATAACATAGAGGTAACATTATAAAAGCAAATTCTCACAATTAGAGAATTATTCAGTGATGAGAGTTAAGAACTTTTAGTTTTGATATATATAAATTATTTTTAAAGCTAAATAAATCTAGCAAAATCATAAAATAAAACCAGTGAGTTTATCATGGATGATGAGATTTTGATGTACAACAAATAGTGTACTCAAAGTTTTGGAAAAACCAATGTATTTGTATGCTGGATTAAGCACTGTTAAGCAGTTTAATTTAAAACATGGGAACTGGTGCTATTGTTTATTAACATTTTGTCCAAAGGAGAAATTTTATCCTCTAATATGAAATTACTTGTACGTTATGAAAATAGATTACAATGGGTTTTTATGGTGGAAGTGTCAAGACTTGGAAGGAATTAGAAAGGATAGTATGCAGAAGATGTAAGCATTACTGAAGAGCTAGAATACAATTTTACTGAAAAATATTTGCAATTAAAGAAAAATATTGCATGTATTTACTGCATAACACTTTGGCCCATACATGTGGCTTCATACAACATTGAAATCAACTTACATTTACCTGTAAAAACTAATGATACACCTGAGTAACCTTGTGACCTAGATTCAAACTTTATTGGATTCTTCCCTGGAGTTGAAGAGTTCCACTAAACGAAGGACCTGTGTGCGATACTTTTAATGTTTATATATGGATTTGTACACCTCTACTTAAACAATTTTTGATGAAAAAAAAAATCTGTAATTTATATTTTGTAATTTTTGTACATTTTTCTTTGAATAATACAAAATTTTTCACAATTTGATATCTTTTCAAAACCCCTGGTAACGCCTGCTGATTTTTTGTCTAGGAACATGTAATGGTATTATAAGTTTAAATTTAGAATATCTTGAAAAATTATCAGTAGGTAAGGTCACACCCTATTACCGGCAACTGTGACAACCGATGCAACTGTGACAACAGACGGCAAAGTTATCAATCAATATGTCAGAGACCTAATTGATATCATAATTTTGACTATTTATAACATTCATTTACTTTCGTTTGGTGCTTTCCCGTGTTGATCTAACCTTAAATTATTTTTCTGTTAAATATAAAACTATGATTCCTTATTGAAACAAAACAAGAACAGAATAAAGCTAAATTTCAATCGTTGTTCAGGAAAAATTGGTCAAATTGAGCTTATATAATAAAAATTGCTATTCTACGGTCACATTTCTTGTTGTATATAATAAATTCAGACTCTTTACGACATAACTTTAAAATATGGATAATTTTTGTTGTTTAATAAAAGCGCCGCAAGCGTTTAATTTTGTTTGGTGAAATCATTTTGGCTATCAGGTACAACAGACGAGGCAAACAATGACAGCAGATTTAAAACGAAATACGGCAATCAGAAACAGTGGATACAAAATTTGATCAAGTACAAATTAGCTGTATCCTGATACTAGTAGGCTTCAAATTAAGTCAAGACATATTTTGGCTGTCAATATTGGTCAAATGTATGGTACTTGCTATCAAAGGAATTTATGGACATATGCCCCTCGGACGGGGGGGGGGGTTATTCCTCTCCACAAGTACCCGTGCATGGTTGCCATACGGCAGCTACTGAATAACTATTCTTCGATAATCAACATGAACATGTTTAAATAAGACAGCCCAGTGGTGTTCGTAAAGAAGATGGGGGGATAAGGCGGACGAAATGCCTATAGTGCGGCAGATAAGAAGTTAAAAATCAAATCTCCATTGTATCAGAATTTTATTTGATATTTTATCTAATAATGAAGTTTATTTAATCTAAATCTCTACAATTTACAAAAATCTGACACAAACTGAAAATATTTGCCTATGAAAAAACTAAAAAGAACAAAAAGGAACAGTTTCTCATACTTAAACAATTTTTTTTAATATGAGTGGGTCTTCGTTCCATTTTTTAAAAAGATGATCCTAAAAGTTTTCAATAGAATATACAATTTGTGGTTTACTAAAACATGAAGCGAAGACCCACTTTACTTTAAAAGTACACTTTTATGACAAAAGATTCGCATCTTTTAGAGAAATACTTTAAGTCCATTAAGTCAAGAGTAACCGGTATATCACAAACATTATTTAAATGCCCCAAATCATCATGAACCATATAGCATAGTGGGTAAGGCGTTAGCCTCAATCTCAAAGCAGTATGATTTGTCGGATTTTTATTGCTAGGGTTCGAATCTCAATTAAACCATCTAGTATTTTTATAATTTTGTCGATATTTTTTTTTTCTTAGAAAAGTTTTTTTTTTCTAATAATATCATAAATTCAATAATTGGAGGTTGATCTAAATACTAGTACTTAATTCACATATTGAATATGATTTCTTAATACATGTATTTGTGGCCATAAGCATTATGCCCGCCTTGTTCCCCCATCTTCTTTTGTTTTTCAACGATAAGAAACAGAAAACGGATATTTGGAACTGTAACATATCAAGGACCACAGTAAAGTACTTAAAAGTGATTTTTTTATGTACAAGTTTTATGTAGTTATAAACTTAGGTTTTTAAAATTGCTAATTTTGGCATTCCTCAGGAAACTGTTATGTTTGCTGCAGACTTTAGCAAACAAAATTGTACACAGGAAAAGTTTTCTTGCAGATTATTGTCGCTCGCTACGATGTTGCGGCCGACATTACAACTATTGCTATATCATCTTGCAAGAACTCAAAATGTTTGCAGGAACATTGCAAGAAACATACATGCCTCTATATACAGCAGCAACAAGTTCGTTGGAAACATCAAATCTGACAAACCGAAGGTTTGCAGGAAGCTCGCATGACAGTAAACAAGTCAAACCAGCTAATGAATTGTAGACTGTACCTAGGTCAACAAAGAATTCGCCATTTTGAAATATTTCAGTTGAAGTTGTAGATATCACACAACGTCTGGCTGATAAGATATGGTTTTGTTTATTTTTTCTTATTATAAAAGTAATGACTATAACTTTTCAATCGTCAACTTCCCTTACTTATGCAGGAAACTACGTTCATCACATACATACAGGGTGTTTAACTCTCTGTTGATTCGATACGCAAAAGCATGCTCTACGTAGGATTTTCTAAAACTTCTAGAATGAGGTAAATAATTGACAAACAAATTGACGAAAGAAGAATATCAACAATCTTGTTTTTAAGTCATCATTTCTTTATTTCTACAGAATGTCCCTGTCAGCAAATAATTTTTTTCATTGATTCAAATGCTGATTGACTCCTCCCTCTACCCCATATATTTTGGGGCCATCATTTGCACATACTGAATTGTCGAATGATTTTTTGTTTGTTTTTTTTTTTGCGATCATGACATAAAGCAAACAACTTGGCAGGTGATGATCACTCCTCCACGCATGGGACGGGTCGTGCCCATTTCTATGTTTTAGAATTTCCCGTTTTTCTGCTCCATTTTGTATTGTTTAATGGAATTTTGAGCTTGAACACTGAACGTTACTACATGTAGTATCTTCATATCTTTCTTTAAAAAATCTAATATTGGCAGCAGGTTAAAACCAGCGGTAAACCTCTTTTGCATGGGTAACTGTTAGCTGCAGATCTGTAGCGTTATGGTTTTATATATTTCTCTTTGACCATAACGCTACATATCCCGTAATGCAAAAAAGGTGCAATTTACGGCGCAATATTTTTTCCGCTCTTTTGGAGAGAATTCCTCCACTTCCCAGCATCGTTCAATAAACTAATCTTCAATACCTAATTCTAGGCACATTATTTAACTAATCTTTATAATTTATCCATCTCCCAACCCTTTATAGTCGTCTCTACAAGTGATAAACTCACTTGATTAAACTTATTTGTTAGATTGCTGAAAATTCACTTCTAGCGAGTTTATTGCCTGTAGAGAAAACTGTAAATTGTTGGGAGGTAGATAAAATATACATATTGGCTATATAATGTGTCTATAATTAGGGAGTGAAAGGTAGTTGATTAACCAATGCTAGAAAGTGGAGAAATTCTCCCCAAAAGAGCGCAAAAAATACTGCGCCGTAAATCGCACCTTTTTTGCATAAAACGATATAACCATATACAACCATATAAAACCATAACGCTACAGATCTGCAGCTAGGGTAACTGTTTGCTATAAGCTTGTCAAAACTAGCGACAAACTTGCTGCAAACACAAAGGTTTTAAAAGTTTGTTACGGTTTCTTTAGCTTCGTTGCAGCGAAGGATCCTTTGCAGCAATGTTTGTGTAGCAAGTTTGCATCAATGTATGTTGAAGACTTGCAGCAAATGTTTGCAGAGAGATCATATTTCGTTCTTAGATAGACAATCATCTTCTGAAATAATAAATTATATAATGTATAGAGATGTCTGACAACTAGTCATGTTTTTGTCAGTGATCTTGATAAGAAAAAAACGTTTCAAAAGTTGAAATCCAGATTAAAATAAATGTGTTACCGATTGCCATTATCTGTCGTCAGTGTTTGCCACAGAAACGAACATCTGTTGTTCACGACAGCCAAAATGTCTTGACCCATCAAAATCAAACACTTGCAGCACACTTGTTAAACAACAAAGTGCAATCACATTATAAAGTTATGGTGTAGAGAGTCTAAATTAATTATATACAACAAGAAATAAGACCGCAGAGTAGTAGTTTTTATTTTATAAGCTGAGTTTAACCAATTTTTCTTGAATAACGATTGAAATTTAGCTTTATTCTGTTCTTATTTTGTTTCAATAAGAAATAATTGTTTTATATTCAACAGAAAAATAGTTTAAGGTTATATCAACACGGGAAACCACCAAACGAAAGTAAATGAATGTTATACATAGTCAAAATTATGATATCAATTAGGTCTCTGTCATATTGATTGATAACTTTGCCGTCTGTTGTCACAGTTGCATCGGTTGTCACAGTTGCCGGTAATAGGGTGTGAAGGTACCTTGCGTATGTCCTTAACCTAAAGCATGGATGCTGGTGGTGTTGTTAACTGACAGTCCACACTTCATTTCACTATGCACCTTTATATATAAACACAACACTTAATATGCATTGTAGCGCACCGAGCAGGTTGACGCCAGGTTTATTGTATTGAATATATTCAGACATACAAACAAAGCAGTGCTGATATAACATTTTGCCAACAAACAAACAGGCAAAAACACATACACACATCGACTATATTGATGCAATAGAATCTAAGCCTTAAAGCCTCCTCTGCCGCCCAGGAAAAACCATAGATAAAAAAAATATTTTGAAAAAAACTATGGAGACCTGTGTATCCGCGGCAAATGCAGAGTAAGCGAAAAAATTGAGTGGCGGACCCTCACTCACGTTTAAAACATCCAAATAGCTTATTCTTAATTTAAAAAAAAATAATTTATAAATTCAACTATTGTATTTAAAAACAAAATTTAAAACACGACTTGCTCGGGAAAGCGTGCGCTAGAAAGTGAACCCTTACTAACCACCCGTATATACAATCGAACACGTTTTCTCAATACTAACATTTCATAGGCTGAAACCTACATAGCAATTTTACCTTAGTAACACCACACTTTCGTATTCGTTTACATGTCGTCAGGACAATTATTTTTCGCTATACTTCGTAACGCGAAAAAATGTAAGTCCACACTTCATTTCACTATGCACCTTTATATATAAACACAACACTTAATATGCATTGTAGCGCACCGAGCAGGTTGACAATAGACATAACCAAAGAAAGGGAGAGAAAGGGACTAGAAATATATATATATATATATATATATATATATATATATATATATATATATATAAAAATAAAATCAATAAAATATACAGGTGTAGTGCTTTTTTAAAAACATTATTTTTTTTGCCTAATCATGTCAGAATCTTTATAAAAGCAACTTTTAGAGTGTATTTAATGTAGATACAAATTTCTAAAAAAATATTTTACATTTATCAATCCGGAAGACAAGCCCCTATGAGGCTGACGTATAAAACGTGATATTTGCAAACTGTAAAATGCGGTGCATGGTGTCAATGGTCTGGGTGCGAATCATCAATTGATTATAGCGTTACGATTAACGCGCAGTTGCGCAACTTTACACAACACGTGCGCGCTAAGACACAAGTTAAGTTGCAGCAGTACGTACGGTGTTTTTGTCACTTGCGCGCTTTTGCAGGCACGTAGCATCGTTTTTGAAAGTGGGGGGGCCAACCTGAGAATTTTTTTTTACTTACCTGAAAAAGTTGACAAGCAAAAAAAAAAAAAAAAAAAACCAAAAATTAAAAGTTGCCCAAAGTCGAAAATCCTATTTCGTGGGGGGGGGGGAGGGGGGGGGGGAGGGGGGGGGTAGTGGCCAACTTTTTTCAAGACCAACTATCTTTCAATTCAAACTTTTTCGGGTAAATTTTCTTTATAACACTACACTCTGCTGAAATGTGGGGGGGCCAACCTTCCTTTCAGTAAACATTTTCTATAGTAAAGGTAATGTCGGGAGAAAAAGTGGGGGGGCCAGGCCCCCCCTGATACTACGTGCCTGATTTGCACAAGTTTGTACAAATTATAATAGCTATATCGGGACACATTCGGGAGACTCAGACTGTAGTATACTGTTCAAGAACGAAGAAGACGATGAAATTAATCTGGAATACAGTTCGATCGATCCATAGGCAGAGAACTTTGATGTTTTTGGTTGATTGTTTCTGTTATTAAATAATTTTTGTCAATGAATCAAAAAAAATATTTTTAAAATAATTTTTATTCAATGATTTTTTTATTTTGATAAACCTAAATTATTCTACTCATATAAAGATTGTTCTCCGTGGGCCAACATTTTTTTTAAACCCGCATAATGACTGCTCCCCATTATTTACACGTCGCCATGATACAACAAAGCGTGGTCGAGGAGCAATAGATGATTAGTGCATTCCACTGGGCATACGGCGAAGAAAGAACCAGGTTAGTGTTTTCTGGAATATAAAAACGATTTTGTTTTTGTTTTTAAATTTATATGAGTGTTTATGTTTTTGTTCATTATCACAACAATCTATACATACGAGCGATTTTATTCTGTGTTCTTTGAACACATTTAGGCCAAAAGCTTATTTGAAAATCAGCTGATTTAATTCTAGCCTGTCATGTCATGAAAAATTTATGAAAAATTACGTAAACAACAAAGAGTATTCGTTTTTATTTTTGTGAAACAACATATTTAAATGTATACTATATACCATATATACACTTATAGCTGCAGATCTGTAGCGTTATGGTTTTATATATTTGTCTTTCACCATGGTCAAAGACAAATATATAAAACCATAACGCTACAGATCTGCAGCTAATATACACTCAATGTAATGGATAAATGTGATACCTATACACGTATTGTATATTATGTTATAAAAGTACATTGTATAGTTAGATATAGTATATAGGTCCCTGGTCATACATGTATATAAACATTAGGACTTTGTTAATTTATATTAATAGGGTAATAAACAACCATAATTATAAAGGCCAGTAATAAGACAACTGCATGTTCATTGTAAGGCAGCTGGTTGTCCTCCCTCTAACAACCCCTCAACCCTTGCCTCAACAACACACCACCCCCAATTCAATATTTGGATAGAGTCTGGTGGGGCCCCGGGCTAGTCAAAGATTTTTTTCAGGTTATTTGACAATCAAATTTCAAATTTGACTATGTTTGCCTGTCAACTGTGTTTTATTAAATGCCACCTAATTAGATTAAAACAATTAAAAATTTATCTGAATTGCTTTGAATTTTATATCTGACATAAATTCAAAGCAAGCAAGTTTATTCAGGTCTGTAAAATCATGACCAAATAGGGTTGGGAGGTGGATAAAATATACGTACAGGTTGGTTAAAGAATGTGTTCATAGAATTGGGAAGTAAAAGATATATATATATATATATGCATTTTAATAATGTGCATGAATTTACGACACAAAATTTTTCTGCGTTCTATTGGGGAGAATTTCTCCACTTTCCATTATTGGTTGATCACCTAAAGACAGTGTTAAGAAAGATCATTCCATAATTTTCTTTGATTTTGGAAAAGAAATACAATAAGAAATTTAAAAATTGTGATTTTTCATGTTCACAGGCTTCAATTACTTGCCACTGATGAGGTTTTACGTTGTGTTGAAAAAAAATGGGAGGGCAGGTAATTGAAACGAATGATGTATATCTGTTCAGAAAAATTGGGATATATATATATATATCATATATATATATATATATATATATATATATATATATATATATATATATATATATATATATATATATATATATATATATATATATATATATATATATGAGGGGTGTGAATATGCTGCACTCCCAATTTTTCTGAACAGATATACATCATTCGTTTCAATTACCTGCCCTCCCATTTTTTTTCAACACAACGTACTTAAAACCTCATCAGTGGCAAGTAATTGAAGCCTGTGAACATGAAAAATCACAATTTTTAAATTTCTTATTGTATTTCTTTTCCAAAATCAAAGAAAATTATGGAATGATCTTTCTTAACACTGTCTTTAGGTGATCAACCAATAATGGAAAGTGGAGAAATTCTCCCCAATAGAACGCAGAAAAATTTTGTGTCGTAAATTCATGCACATTATTAAAATGCATTATGAGATCTGTAGCATTATGGTCAAGACTAATATATAAAAACCATAACTCGTCAGTTAGCTAAGTCTCAATGACCTCAAAAATAGGCTAATAGTAACTGAATATTAATTATTTAAAAAATCAGCAGATATGGTTAGCTTATATATTATTAGTCATTTAATGTGAACAGTAAAAGAATTTAAAAAATTCCGATTGTTTTCAGAAATTGATTCATTTAATATCCCATTACCTAAATCTGATATATTTCTGTTTGTCTGTATCGTAACAACAAAATTAATGTGTACAAAATTGATTATTTCCTCAGGTATGCAGAGTCAGTAATTATCCATCTCCGCTTGGATTAAAATCTCCTGCAATTACCTGTAACACCACAATGCCAAATTATTATAAGTAATTGCACTTGCTGTGTTGGAGATCATTGACTTCATTATAAAGAAACGGGTCAAAAGATTTTCCAATTTTGGTCAACAGAAGTAGTCTAAGAGTATTTGAGCTGTATGTGAGTTAGGATGGGCTGCAGTCCCTCTCGAGTGAACCCTCAAGGGAATGAGGCCATGACTCCTCGGCCCATGCCCACTGACAAGAGGGTTAATGGGCAAGCCAAGAATGGACAAGTCAAGAAGACAAAGACAGACTCTAATGCTAATCAAAAGGATGTGAATACAAATAATCCAGGTAAGGCAGGCATTTTTTATTATTTTTCTCTGTTTTTGGCATCTTCGCTATAGCCGAGGGTTTTCGGTCCGCTGCACTCCCCGAAAACCCTTGGCTAGCGAAGATGTGTTTTTGGCAGCTATTAGATTGGTTAAACTTGATTATGTGCATAATGTCAGAGTGTAGGTTTTTGTCTCCATTACACAACATTGGACAAATTGGATCGCACAATCAACAGTAAAACATCTTATGAGATGGATTCTTTTACTAGCTAGGTAGTATTTTTAAGTTTCTAGAATTGCATGGAAATTTGTCATATCTTCGCTAGCCAAGTATTTTCGGTGACCACTCCACTCTCCATAAAACCCTGGGCAGCGGAGGTAGTGGACCAAAAACACTTGGCTAGCAAAGATGGTATACACCTATTCTCACATAATCCGTCCACACGCAGCCTGACTTTCATTAAAAAATATAAGTCATTATTTTGGGGAGAAGTCGATGTTTTTAAGCAAACAAAACATTGGAGAATTATTTTTTAAAAATCAGAACTTAACCATGCACAATAGCAAAAATATTCAATAAGTTATATAGGTAGGGTATTTTCCTTTGTAATTTACGTTGTTTCCTGAGGTCGATTTGACCCCCTCAAAAAATCATTTTATTGCCAAAATGAATGTTCAATTTTATCTTAGTTTTTTAGAAGTATGTCTGTACTAAAAAATAAATACAAAAATTTTGTTTTTATGCCAGTGTTTTTCTCTTAATTGTAATTAACAAATGTTGTTTGCTTAATTCTTATTTTTCAACTGAAATAATTCTGTTCTTTTTTGCTAGAAATTTTAAAACTGAATTTCTGTGCGACTTCATTTTATGTTTTTGAATCCTAAAGAGAAAAGGATTTAAAAATTTACTTTGGTAAGAAACTGTGAAAATTCTAAATCATTTCTCTTAAAGAAATATAGGTGTGTTCCCGTTTTGCACACATTTGATAATTAGGTATAGAACAATAAGAGTGAAGTGTGTTTTCATAGCAATTATAGTCTGATTTCTGGTTTGGATTTACCTGGATTTACCTGTGAATACCTGATTCAGCTTAAGAGGTTTAATACAATTTTATAAGCATTTTATTTAAATTCTATATATATTTATGGGAAAATATTTTATTTTATTGAATAAATTATTAATATTTATTTCATATTATTCATTAATTATGTCCATTTTTTTAAAAAAAAAAAGATTACCTTTAAATCTTGATAAAATACTAAATGAATTAAAGATATAACAAATAAAAAAGAAAATAGAGAATAAAAATTAATTTGAAAATAATTCCCAAGCCTAGAAGATGTTGGGATCATCAGATAATTATAAGATCAAAGTGACGATCGAGTGTATCAATTGTATTATACTCATGAAATAAATCAATGAGCTAATTGTATTATACTCAATAAATAAATATCAAATACATTAACTTTGTATTTATTTATTCTCTTATTTTTTTTTCACTATAAGATCACCTTTCACATACTTACTAAGTATGGTATAGACTATAGCAATTAAGTAATTATCTCACCTGGTCAAACTCCTGTTTTTCACACATTTTTTAATTACCTGTAATTCAAATGTGTGCAAAACGGGAACAAACCGAAATATATATTGATAACGTAAATTACAATTTCATTGCTATTCAAACAAAAAATTAATATTTTCTTGAACTTATTTCCATCCATCTAAATGACATACAGTATTTTCAAACACCCAAAAAATGCCACAAATACTGATTATTTTTCATCCTTTCAAGAGATTCACAGTTAGATATAATGATACCGATTCAAAGGTCTGCTGTCAGAATGTACTTTTTCCTCTATTTTTCTAGTTAAGTCTCTCCCTATTTTATCTTTTTTTACTTCCTATATGCTTTTTAATTGCTTCTTTACCATCTCTGTTAAACAAAGTTTATGAAATATAATTACAGAGAAAGGCATTTAAAGTATATTAATTTTAATTTACGTTATTTTTACTGTAATTTACGTTATGAAAGTTTTGCTTCAGCAAGTCCCCTATGAACAGAGATTTATACTTGAAATATTGCTACGAATAAAAAGAAGAACACCTTGTTTGTAAAATTAATTAAAGTTCACGTCAAAAATGCATTCTTGACGAATCAATAAAGAAATATTTGAAAGTTATTGAAGGTAACATGTAATTTACGTTATCTGATGGCGCTTCCTGCATCATATCTACATCGGAAGTTCGCTGATGTTAAGATGCTCTCGAGAGAAAACCAATAACGTTTCCTGCATGGTTCCGTATTGTTCCGACATCTTATTTGCAAGATATGTAGCATGTATGTTTTCTACTGATAACGTAAATTACATAACGTAAATTACTTTTTATCAGTTTTATTGGTGTAAAAATTGTACTCGCACAGATTAATGCTCGTTTTGATATTTTACGTGTTTGGTTCGTCAGGAAGAATAAATAAATTTATATGCAAAGACAGTTATACTCATATTCTTGAAGTATCGTTTATAACGTAAAATACATCCTTAAAACGAACCACTCGCCTCTCAGGTTACAAGACCACTGTGTTTTTGTAAGTATTCTGTCATATAATTTTTCTTTAATTCTGGTAGCATTATATGGACTTTGTATTCTAGTAGATATTTTATGTTTTTAGATACCCTTTTATTCTATTTAAACAAATAATAATATTTTGATAACGTAAATTACACAAATTTTGTGACATGGTTATTTTACATTTTTTTTTAAATTTCACTGTAGACAAATATTTTAAAGTGCGAATATTCAGTATATTTATGCATTGTTACATGTAAAATCCATAACTTTTAACATAAAATATAATTGGATTGCTGAGTTTTATTCAATGGTCCAAACATTGACCTTTGCCCGAGCAACAGACTGAAAAGCCACCTTTTAGACTATATACTGGGATCCCAGGGAGGTTTTAACCTGTGTAATAACATTTTACTGTGTTGGTTTGGTAACTAGACGTATCACAAACAAAATACTACAAAATTTACCAGATATTTTAATACGAATGTAATTTAAAGTGCTTGCGACATCCAAACTGCGCATATGGACGGATTATGTGAGAATAGGTGTTTAGTCATTATTAAGTTGATGTTTCTTTAAAAAAAAAAAGATTCTTCTGCTGATAGCTTGCACTGTTTAATGTAATGTCATAATGCATATACAGTAAAACTCGATTCGGCTTAATCCCTAAATGTAGATTCCATTATATAGATAGCATACTTATCTCACACTTCATGCTTGGTTGATATGCTTTCTCTTAGGTCTATATATGTAGATATTATAATTTTAAATTTAACTTTGTCATATGGTAATTTCTTTTGTCATTATAGTAATTGTGACTTTTTTGAGATCTGGAAACTTTAGAATCATAAACTAATGAAAACCTCTAAAGCAGAACTCCTTATTTAAGCAATCTTAGATTTTAAAAAAAAGTTCACTACCTAACTTTATATATATATATCACCAGTACATGCTGATATTACTGCATAGTGTTGTGAAAAGAAAAGAATTCTTTTTTCTTTTTGTGCAAATACTGTTTCATTAATTTTGAAGTTGCGAGACTTGTTAGTCACACTTTCCATTTAAAGCATTTATTTGACATATTGCATTGATTGCAAGTAAAATCCATGCAATCCCGTCTGTAGTTTCAATTTACCTATACCTCCCACATTAAATTCACCAAAGTACAGAACTGTAATAATATCTGTCAAACATGAACTTGTTTAATCTAGACTATTTTTTTTATAAATTAAAATACATCATTTGTAGTTAGAATTGATCAAAACCTTCCCATTATAGCATATACTGGGTACATAAAAACAACTGATATTTAACATTGAACAGTAATATATATCAGGTACTTGTACAAGTCAAGTCGAATTGGGATCACTTGCAACTTTATAATATTTAGCTCACCTGAGCTGAAAGCACAAGTGAGTTTTTTCTGATCACCTGTTGTCCATCGTCTGTCAGTCTGTCTGTAAACATTTCACATTTTCCATTTTTCCTCAAGAACCACTAGGCCCATTTTAACCAAAGTTGATATGAAGTACCCTTGGAACTTAGATGAAAGCTTCCATAAGTATAAATCTTAATTGTTCAAATCATGGCCCCTAGGGCTAGGATTGGACCACAATTGGGAATCAATTTTTTAAAGTATTACAATGGAGAATCTGATGAAAAATATGAGGGCCAATTTATCTTAGGTGGGCATTGTGGCCCATGGGCCTCTTGCAAGATTAAGATACAATACATGTTTCATTTATTTGTTCTCTAATGGGAATATTATTACATAATATCCTTCAAACAAGAAAGGGACTCCAATGATTTTTTAAGATCAGAGGGAACCCAAAACATCCCCTCTCTCAAAAAAAATTGGGAGGGGCATATAGTTAGAACCACCCTCAGTTTACTTAAACTGTCAATTCTACACCTAACATATTAATTAACTGAAATTCAGCTAATAAATGTCAATTTTTATGTAGCAATTATCATGCACAACAGATCGCATTAAATTAGAAATTTGGCAGGTGTTTGAAAAGTGAAGTCAGATTGTCAAAACATGGATTATTGCTCAGTGTGAAGAGGGATGTTGATGCATTTATTTGTATAAATAAGACTGCAATATAATTTAAAGTTGAGGGAAATGAAAATCACTTCCCTGTAAGTGTCAATTCATTAATAGCAAGTTCTCTATAAGTATGTTTTACTGTAGGTCCCTGACTATACGCATGTATGCCTGTTTAATATTGTTTCTCGTGAGATACATTGTGTATATATACTCCAGTCTCATTTTATGATGAAAATCAATGAGGCAATTTAATGAGCTTTCAGGAGAGACACTACAATTCATTATTAATTGGCCCCATTTCCCTCACCTCTTTGTAACCCTCTAAGGAACTTTCTATAAATAATTGACAAGGGTTTTACTCTCTGTAGATGTTTGTGCCACTTTATAATATTCCCACACAATAGAGGTATTATGGAAATCCTTCCTTTAATTCTTTGCACACCTTTGCTGATGATGGATACATAGTTCAAACATGGTTACATCTGATCTCTCTGTGGTATTATAAAGGAAAACTAACCAGGGAGGTTGATTAAATGGGAATCCTCTCAGGAAATTTGCTTTTCTAAATGCCATATGATATGCATTAAAATTTTAAAGCATTATCAAATTAAAAAGAAATATTTTCTTTTATTTTTGGTCACTTTTAAATAATTAGATTAAGCCAATTTAAGGCTCAAATGACTATCTTGACAGACTTTGTATTGTTTGTTGCTTTATAGTACACATTTGTTAATTAATGTAATCATCATTAAGTTTTCATATGCAGACCTTTAAAAATGATGGGGAGTCCAGTTCAAATGAAGGAGCCCTTTTTTTATATAAAGAGCTAAAATTAAAAAATGATTAAAATACATGATATGGTCATTCAAAGATAAATCTTCTCCACAAGAATCACTAAACTTTTAAGGACAAACTGCAAAAACAAAAAGGCTAATTTGTAAACTTGATCCGAATTAAAGTTGCTGAATTGTGGACTTATTTTACAAATTGTATGAGTAACACAGTCCTTATTAATAACATTCTCCTGTAAACCTCATTTCTATTATGTTTAATTGTGTGTATTGACTTGTACCAGTGAGCGTTTTAAGCTCAAAGTTAATGAAGAACTGAACTGAATTTGACATAATTAAAGTATGATTATTTTTTGTTTTACAGTTCCTAAAGCTGTGGCATTTCAAGTGACCCTGGATGGAGAGCAGACAGAAAGCCTCATTACAAAACATCCCCCTATAAAACTCAAGGTACCTTATCTTTTCACAGGCCTTATGCATAAAAAGCTCAAAAAATGCTATAAAATCAATAATTTTCATGGGAGGAGTTAATTTTTGTTGTTTTTGTGACCCATAAATTTATGCCCTCCACAAAATATTGAAGTTTGCAATTCCTCAATAATGAAATCTAATTCTTATGTCAACCAAATAAAAACCAGTATATTTTATTCAACCATGAAATTTTATCCAAGGAAAATAATTGATTCTGTAGTACTCTGTGAATGTGGTACTAAGATTGTGGGACATACAAACTTGCATCAAAATGAAGAATTGATCACTGCTTTGATGAAGATATCACATGCACTTCCAGGGGGAGGGGGATCCAGCACTTTATCACTTTATTAAAAGGGGGTTCCTAGTGGAATGGGCAAAGATTGCACGGTTGTTCTGAGCTACTTTTATTTTATTTTAATAAAATAGATGAAAAATAAGTATTCCAGAAAATGTTTTGTTTGTTTTACATTTTTGGACCAATTAAGTTTACCCCTGGCCAGTAGGTGTTTCTTACTTTCTAAATTTACCATTTCACCAAGAAACTGGAAGGAGAGATGATGGGGTCATTCAGGAGAATTATCATTTTTGCAAAAAAAAAGTGTTATTTCCATAAGTTAGAAAGATATGAGATTCCCTGATCTGTACTTTAATATATTAAAGAATCCCACTAGAAGTAATATTCACCTAATTAAGTCACATATAGTTTAAAGATTTTTAAGTTTTTTCAAATTATGAAATTATAATTTCATCATTCTTTTTACAGGATTAAGCAAAAATCACATCATCATTTTTGGCTTAGAGTGGTATTTAACTTTTACTTGCAGAGACTAGCCCCCCTCAATGTTCCTACTCTGTCAGCTGAAGAATTGTTAGAAAAACAGAAAATAGCTGATGAAAAAAGAGAAAAGGTATGTGGAATCATCTCATAGAGTTATGGCCCCTGAAATAGCAATTAGAAATACACCAAAATCAACATAGGAGATTAGAATGTGGGTCTTTTTTGGTAAAATTCGGTTCCTGATGTATGTCTGAGAATATACATATTATTGTTTGATTGAGTAGGAGCTGCAGAGGAAAAGAAGTGCCTCCAAGAAATCTTCTCGCAGGCGGCGGGAGCTGTTACAGGCCAAGGAATTCGAGGAGAAACAGCAAATGGAACAGGAAAAAAACAAAGTTTGTCACAGTTTCAATCTTCATTTTACTCTTCACCAATTTAATTTCATAGTCATAGTTGTGATAGATTTTCCTATGTACACTCCTCCCCAAAGTAATTGGCATTTTTGATCCCTTGTTTTAATAGTATTGTCTGTTCTCCTTCATTATCACCTTCTCCTTAATTATCACCTTCTCCTTGACCCACTGTATTATATGTATATATGTTTTGTATGTTTTTGTACCTCATGTACCATTTACATGGTTTTGAGTGAATAAATTGAATTGATTGAGTTTACATATATTCTTATGAAGTTATTGTAAAAACAATACAATGACTATAGGCATCCAGACCTTCAAAAAGAAATCGAATGCATTATAGGGTTATTGGAATGACATTGAAATGATATAATATTGAACACTTTAGCACAGATGTATATAGTGCACACTTTGACTATTGATACCATTATCAAACAATTTTCCTAAAATGGGAGTGATATTTTAAAAAAAAAAATATTTCTCTCTTGTTGTGTTTAGATTGATTCGTCCATGAAGACAGCAGAGATGTTAAGAGAAGCAAAATTACAGGAAGTCAGAGAGAGACAGCGACTAAGGGAGGAGAGGGCTCGCAGGGCCCGGGAGAGGGTAGGTATCAGAGGAGGGATAGAGATTTACAGTGTAGGATGAGAGGGCAGGAGGGATAGAGATTTACAGTATAGCATGAGAGGGCTTGCAGGGGGCCCATGAGAGGGTAGGTATCAGAAGAGGGATAGAGATTTACAGTATAATATGAGAGGGCTTGCAGGGGGCCCATGATAGGGTAGGTATCAGAAGAGGGATAGAGATTTACAGTATAATATGAGAGGGCTTGCAGGGGGCCCATGAGAGGGTAGGTATCAGAAGAGGGATAGAGATTTACATTATAACATTAGAGGGCTGACAGGGTCCAGGAGAGGGTAGGTATCAGAGGAGGGATAGAGATTTATAGTATATCATGAGAGGGCTCACAGGGACCAGGAGAGGGTAGGTATCAGAAGAGGGATAGAGATTTATAGTATATCACGAGAGGGCTCACAGGGACCAGGAGAGGGTAGGTATTAGAGGAGGGATAGAGATTTATAGTATATCACGAGAGGGCTCACAGGGACCAGGAGAGGGTAGGTATCAGAAGAGGGATAGAGATTTATAGTATATCATGAGAGGGCTCACAGGGTCCAGGAGAGGGTAGGTATCAGAGGAGGGATAGAGATTTACATTATAGCATTAGATGGCTCACTGGGCCCAGGAGAGGGTGGGTGTCAGAGGGATATTGATTAACAGTAAAGCATGAGAGGGTTCACAGGGTCCAGGAGAGTGTAGGTTTCAGAGGAGTAATAGAGATCAGAGTTCTTGAAATCTTTTTTCCACTGTCAGTCATTTGGACTGACTGCCACAGGAAGTTTGTCGGTCCAGACAGATTTTTATCAGTCCAACAAAATAATTAAACATAATTTTAAGAAGATTAAAACTGTATTTGAATTTTATTATCATTACATTTTGCACCCTCCATCATATACACACTGCATACTTCATGCGAATTTGATCATCCTATAACAAATTTTGTTGAATTCTCGTGGGAGGTAAATTTTTTCATAAGTTTTTAATCTAGTTCGATTTTTCTCACCTGGCTAATACCTTATCGCCGTCAAAAACTTGTTAAAACAATTAATCAATCATAGTTTGGTACTTGCATTCATCGAAGAAGCCATTACGAGATACTGAAAAGTGTTTAACAGATCATTATTTAGGGAATTAGGGAATTCGTACGAAAATTAGTCGGATTTTCGCAAGATGCTTTCTCAACATCTACCTGTCATTTGGACTGACACAGAACGTAAAGTGATCAGTCCTTGGTTGTTTTTATCGGTCTTGCCGAAGGGACAGAAAGATTTCAAGAACTCTGAGAGATTAACAGTATAGCATGAGAGGGCTCACAGGGCCAAGGAGAGGGTAGGTTTCAGAGAAGGGATAGAGATTTACTGTGTAGCATGAGAGGGCTCACAGGGCCCAGGAGAGAGTATGTTTCAGAGGAGTAATAGAGATTTACAGTGTAGCATGGCATGGCAGGAGGGATAGAGACTTACAGTATAGCATGAGAGGTGTCACAGGGCCCTGGAAAGGGTAGGTATCAGAGGAGGGATAGAGATTTACAGTGTAGCATGAGAGGGCTCACAGGGCCCGGGAGAGGATAGGTATCAGAGGAGGGATAGAGATGTACAGTATAGCATGAGAGGGCTCACAGGGCCCGGGAGAGGGTAGGTATCAGAGGAGGGATAAAGATTTACAGTGTAGCATGAGATGGCTCTTAGGTCCCAGAGGTCTGGAGGCCATAAAACTAAGATTAGCTCCTTTTTTTTTTATCTCAGTCTCACTTTTACCAAAGGAATTATTAGTGGAAAGGGAGACTGAGATCAAAAGTGAGCTCGTCTAATTTTAATGGCCTCCAGACCAGGAGAGGGTAGGTATCAGAGGAGGGATAGAGATTTACAGTATAGCATGAGAGGGCTCACAGGGCTGGGGATGTGGGGTAGGTATCAGAGGAGGGATAGAAATTTACAGAATTTACAGTACTTTATAGCATAAGTTTATACTGGACATGGGTATTGCAAATTCATGCTTACAGTATGGAAATATTTTCCCCCATACTTGAAAATAATAATTGAATATAGCAAATTAAGCAATTTCAGCTATCATTTGTGATTCTGTATATCCATGTATTAATTACTGTATACATGTTTGTTTTAGTTTGCTGGATGAAATAAAACTAAAATGTTATGCAAGAGTTTAGCGTACAATTCGACTTTCTTTTTTCTGCACAATATCTGCAACCACTTGCATTTGAAAATTATGATTATCAATAAATTAATGAAAACCAATTCTGCTCCAATAAATTTTTGCTGAGATCTGATATTTTTCATGTATTAAAATAAAAATTATTGTGACTTTTGCAGCATAAGAAGATGGCTAATGCAGAACAAGAGGATATAGGGACAATAGAAGTAGAAAGGGATGGTCATTTCAATGCAGACGATAGTAAGTGTTATAAAACCATTCCATCAATTGCACTGGCTATACCCCATCTTTGAACAAATAAGTTTTAATACACCTCAGATGCATAGTTTCGTTTTTGTAATAACCAATCAATTCAATTTTGATTGCATGAGTTGTGAAGGTACATGTATATAAAGCCCTGCTGATCGATCCTTAGTGGTTAAAAATTAATTATAGGGTGGGTCCAAAAAATACACCCCCACCCCCAATCCTTGCATGAAGAAGACTGCATTAAGAAATGATTCTTTTAATTGTTATGCTTTGCTTTCAACAAACAGTTTTACCTAAGTTGCCAAAACTAGAAAGATCAATATTTTTTTTAATGCTTAAGAACAGATAATACAAACAAAAAAATGGATGCATGGATTTGGTATATTTTTTTAGGCCACTTTTTGTTGCAAATGATACAAATAATAAATTTCTAAAATATTTAGAAATTGTAAATATTCTATGATGTTCAGAATTATATCTTTCTTCAACCATCCTTATTAATTTATACAAATATTTTTCACTTCAAATCCCATTTTTGTGAAATTTTGAATGAAAAAAACTACTGTAAATCACTTTTTATTCGCGAGAACTTTATTTTCGCGTAATTACGTGAGACGGTATGCTCATGAAAATTTCATTCTCGCGTATAATAGAATTCCTTAACATTATATAGAGCAATGACCATAATTCGTGAAAATTTTGTCACGCTAATAAAGAGTCATTGACTATCTCGCGAAAATAAGGTGTCGCGAAAATTAAGTAATCTACAGTATGCAGAGAAACTTGTTTATTTTACTCATTAAAACATGGCTGAAGTTTATATTTTCAGTATTTTTGTCAAAAGTTTGTTTGTGTCATTAATGCACATTAGTTAATTACTAGCAAGTAACTTTCATGTGAAAGCATTATAAGTCATATAAACTTGCTTCACATCATTTTGTGCAAAGTAAAATTTAATGTGCATTCATCTGAACAGAGCAGGGCATTAAACTACAATAAATGATTAGAGAGTGACATAATGCTTAAGAGTTTGCAAAAGTTTATACATATAATTTCTGCAACTAGTTCATTTTTTTTATTTGAAGAAAATTAACAAAGAATTAAACAGGTAGGCTAGAATTTTCTGTAATTGTCACCTCTCTCTATAGTGTAAAGCATCTGTGCGACCAGTACATACATGTATGACCACAAAGTGTTGTCCCTCTGCATGTTGTGTTGAAGTGTATTCACAGTTTTAGTGATTCTGTTTTTGAAAGCCCCTGAATATTTTCATTTGTTGATTTGATCATAAATTATCACTTTTTTCTTTGCATTAAATTACTTCATCTTTAGAATTTGCACATCAATTAGCATATTTGTTAATCATGCAGATCATTTATTTCAAATGTTCTTTGCATTATCCCCATAGAACTTTTTGTAGCATGCATGCATATACTTCCTATCCTTGAATGATAAAAAAAAAATACATATATAACTTGTTAAGGTAGTAATTTGCAAGTTTTCAAGTGGGTAGTTCATCTGAACCAAATACAGATTTTTTCTCACATTGACAAAAGTTGAGATGAGCATGATCTTCTTTTTTCCTTAAGCAGGGGATACAGGTTCTCTGAATTAGCTTGTACATGTAGGTTTGACCATTGTTTTCATATACTGCTATAACTTTTCATATTTTTTAGTTTTTAGCTCACCTGAGCCGAATGAGCTTTTTTCACAGTTTTTTCACATTTTTTTTTCAAGAACCACTGGGCCAATTTTGACCAAACTTTATACAAAGCATCCTCGGGTAAAGGGGAATTTAAATTGTTAAAATGAAGGGACATATCCCCTCGCAAGGGGAGATAATCAAGAAAAGACAAAAATAGGGTGGGGTCATTAAAAAATCTTCTTCTCAAGAACCACTGGGCCAGTGAAGCTGAAACTTATGTGGAAGCATCCTGGGGTAGTGTAGATTCTAAATTGTTCAAATCATGACCCCCGGGGGAAGGGCGGGGCCACAATGGGGAATCAAAGTTTTACATAGGAAAAATCTTTGAAAATCTTCTTCTCAAGAACCACTGGGCCAGAAAAGCTGAAAATTTTATGGAAGCATCCTGGTATAGTGCAGATTCTAAATTGTTCAAATCATGACCCCCGGGGGATGGGCGGGGTCAGAATGGGGTATCAAATTTTTACATAGAAATATATAGGAAAAATCTTTGAAAATTCAAGAACCACTGGGCCAGAAAAGCTGAAACTTATGTGGAAGCATCCTGGTATAGTGTAGATTCTAAATTGTTCAAATAATGACACCCAGGGGAAGGGCGGGGCCACAATGGGGAATCAAAATTTTATATAGAAATATATAGGAAAATCTTTGAAAATTTTCTTCTCAAGAACCACTGGGCCAGAAAAAGTGAAGCTTATGTGGAAGCATCCTGGGGTAGTGTAGATTCTAAATTGTTCAAATCATGACCCCCGGGGGAAGGGCGGGGCCACAATGGGGAATCAAAGTTTTATATAGAAATACATAGGAAAAATCTTTGAAAATCTTCTTCTCAAGAACCACTGGGCCAGAAAAGCTGAAAATTTTATGGAAGCATCCTGGTATAGTGCAGATTCTAAATTGTTCAAATCATGACCCCCGGGGGATGGGCGGGGCCACAATGGGGAATCAAAGTTTTACATAGAAATATATAGGAAAAATCTTTGAAAATCTTCTTCTCAAGAACCACTGGGCCAGAAAAGCTGAAACTTATGTGGAAGCATTCTGGTATAATGTAGATTCTAAATTGTTCAAATCATGACCCCAAGGGGAAGGGCGGAGCCACAATGGGGAATCAAAGTTTTATATAGAAATATATAGGAAAAATCTTTGCAAATCTTCTTCTCAAGAACCACTGCGCCAGAAAAGCTGAAGCTTATGTGGAAGCATCTTGGTATAGTGTAGATTCTAAATTGTTCAAATAATGACCCCCGGGGATGGGTGGGGCCACAATGTGGAATCAAAGTTTTATATAGAAATATATAGGAAAAATCTTTGAAAATCTTCTTCTCAAGAACCACTAGGCCAGAAAAGCTGAAACTTATGTGGAAGCATCCTGGTATAGTGTAGATTCTAAATTGTTCAAATCATGACCCCCAGGGGATGGGCGGGGTCAGAATGGGGTATCAAATTTTTACATAGAAATATATAGGAAAAATCTTTGAAAATCTTCTTCTCAAGAACCACTGGGCCAGAAAAGCTGAAACTTATGTGGAAGCATCCTGGTATAGTGTAGATTCTAAATTGTTCAAATAATGACACCCAGGGGAAGGGCGGGGCCACAATGGGGAATCAAAATTTTATATAGAAATATATAGGAAAATCTTTGAAAATTTTCTTCTCAAGAACCACTGGGCCAGAAAAAGTGAAGCTTATGTGGAAGCATATGACCCCCGGGGGAAGGGCGGGGCCATTATAGGGAATCAAATTTTTACATAGAAATATATTGGAAAAATCTTTGAAAATCTTCTTCTCAGGAACCACTGGGCCAATAAAGTTGAAACATATGTGCCCATGGAAGGATCATGGTGTAGATTTCAAAATGTCTAAATTATGATCAGTGGGGTAGGGTGGGGATGCATTATGTATAACAAGGGTGAAATCTGGTAAAGAACAGAATGGTCAAAGGTTCTCAGGTGAGCGATGTGGCCCATGGGCCTCTTGTTTAATTTTTTACCAGTATTAACCTTGTGGATTAATTAAAGACAACTTGGCACAAAGTATCCTTGATTAAAGGGGATTCAATTTTGTTAAAATGGAGGGCAATACATGTACCACTCTTAAAGGGGAGATAATCAATAAATGAAATTTTAAAAATATGGTGGAATCATTTAAAAATTTTCTCAAGAACTTGTGGGTTAATTATAATTTGGAACAATTTAGTTTTCTTCCCACCTATAAAGTCCCCCTCTCATCTCCCTATTTTTAATAGGGCTGGGACAATATATCGAGATATCGATATATTGTGATATCTGTGAGGACGATACGCATATCGATACATATGAAGAAATATTGAAATATCGCCCCCAAAAATCTTACTTCTATTTTTCTTTGTTTATTAAACATTTGAGGTTTGACATATAAAGTAGATAAGATAAATATAAATATAGATGTGAAATAAATAATAATTAACACCACTTGAGTAAAATATTTTTGTTTTACAACATATAAACAACAATTTTGAATAAATTATTCTTATTTGCAAAGAAATAATTTTTTTATTTCAATGCAAAAACAGATTTTTATAAGCAATTGAATATATCGTGATACATATCGTATCGTGGCTCAAATATCGTGATACGTATCGATATAGAAAAAGTTGTATCGTCCCAGCCCTAATTTTTAATGCCTCCTGCTGTCTTGATTCTTAAGGACAACTGCAGATGCTGCCTTATAATATGTCAAATCAAATATACATTCTATATTTGGTGACCATAGGTAAGGTTTTCCCATATAAAAAGAGGGCTGTCTTGAACCTGGGTGTTGAAACTACATGTACAGTGTATTAATATGTTAAGATTTTGACATGGAATCTAAAGCATAATATCCTTAGATATCTTCCACTCAAGAATTGAAGATAAAACAATTTTGTTAGGGTAAATTAGATTAGAGGTCACAAAAGTGGAAGAGTTGGTTTTTCTTAAGAAAAAAAGCCTACAATTTATAAGATTAAATCCATGCATGCAGACTTAATTTATGGAGTTTAATAAGTTTAAAACAACTATAAAGGAAAAATTTAGGTTACTCGTCTTTTAATAATGTTTTGCAAAATTTGATAGTCAATGTATTTGTGAAAGAAAATGTACTTTATGATGCACATGAATGTATTTTGTTGGCTAGAAATGCAGCCTTATGAAAACTTTTTATTTTACAAGTGATGTTGATTTTGAATCTAATGTAATTTTATCTCAATTCAGATGATTCTTGGCTAGATGATGGAAAAAATGGTTCTGAAGAGGACTTTGTATCAGGAACAGGGGAGAGAATTTATTCCGGCAGTGTTGAACCTGAGGAAAGTCGAGGAGGCATGAACAGCGCAGGAAAGTCTCGCAAACTGCCGAGTGCTTCATCCCACCTAGCCAACGGAAACCCAGATGACTTCTTTGACTCTTGACAAAAAATAGTTTATAACTTAGATCTTTATTAGTGTTACACTTAGAAAAATTGATGCAAAATTATATAATAGTTTATAATTTTATACCATTTCGATGGAAATGTTTAAACAAACCAGTCAATTAGCTGTTATAAAGGTAATGCACATAGAGTAGTCTAGATAAATGTAAATTCAAAACTGTTCAAATGCCATTTTTATTTTATTCCAGAATTACTAATATTTTGTTTGTTTTTTATTATTTTGTATATTTATTACATCTTGTGATTGGATATTTTCCAATGAATCCTTTGATATGACAATTCCTTACCAACCCTGTCATTAATTATATAGTGTACACCTGATAAAGTTCTAGTTATAAACTGGTGCTGATGTTTATTTTGAATTTCATATTTTTTGAAACTTACCGTAATCTTATTTTTAATGAAAAAAAAAACTGCCTTTTTCTTTATTGAAATGTGTTTTTTTTTTAAAGATATATGGTAGAAAGTCTTCTTATGAAATACAATTTTGAGAATTAAATGAATCATACATAATATTTATCATTTGTTTTCCAGTTTTTTATTCAAAGAATTAATTTGCTCAAATTAAAAAATATATATATATTATGCTTTAATTTCAAAAGAATTAGATTGCATGATATTTTACCCTAAATAATACATGTACCTCAGATTGCTGTATTAATTATATTATTATTTAGCACAGTTGTTACTGAAATCATAATTATTGTTAATATCTTGCCCATGTACTAGATTATTCAAAATATATTATATGCTCTGTAAACAGTATATGGGTGGATCCAGTGGTGAAAGAATTCTTTAAGAAATGTTCAACATACTGAATTGAATGAATTTAGTGTTCAAATATAGAGATGCATAGGTTTGGGTCACACCCATAAGGCTCAGAATACACCCTATTTATATAGACATCATATCCATTGTCATGTTCAGGACAAAGAAGAATTACCTTTTTTGGTCTGATACATTTTTAAGTGAATTATGGTATACAACATTAGCATCATTCTGTATTTCCCACAAATTTTCCAGTTGAAGCTGTGAATATTCAAGAAACAAGATTATGTTACAATTTGTTCTGATTTATTTATATCATTAAGATTCCAGATTGAGTTATTAAAATATTATTTCTGATGTACCAATAATTATGAGCTAGTCCAGTCTGAATAATTACATTCTTCATGAATCATCTAGATATCATATATGCTTGGCTTGTCCATCTATATCAAAATTGTTCCTAAAATAATATAAACAATTTTCAGTCTATGAGAATTAATTTCATTTTTTTTAGTTTATGCATGAGCATGTTCAACAGTTTGATGGAAATTTTAACAATCAAAACTGAAAATAGAATATTTCAATATTCAGAATATAAACTATGTTAATTATCATTATATATGTATATTCTTGTATGAATGCATCTATATGTGTCATAACTTTACATTCAACTCTGTAAGGGTTGGTACTTAAAACTGCTCAATACAATGACCACCTTATAAGTTATTCATATATGTAGGTATTATTTGGCAAAATGGTGATATCTGTAGTTAATTTGAAATAGCAGTGTTTCAAACAGTAGCAGTCTCCTGAAAAATTATTAGGTTTGAGAGTAAAATATCATATTGTTTTCTTATATTGTTATTAATTCAAAAAAAATTTAAAAGATATTTTTTATGGGAAATTTACAATAATTAAGTATTCTGTATGTACATGAGAGTATTAATGCTAAAGACATTGACCTAGTTAGCTTACAGATGTTCATTATTTTACAATAAAATATTTTTTAGTAATGACGAGGTCTATTAAGTGAGCTAGGTTTTAATAATTTGGTCCATGTACATTGAACACATCGAAAATCCATTTTTATCACCCGTAATCGAAGATTAAGGGGACTATTAAGTTTTTGCTTTGCTTAAGCATCTGTCTGTCTGTTGATCTGTTTACCAAAATATACTTTAACCTTGCCCATAACTTTTGAGTGGATGGGGCTATGCTCTTCATATTTCACAGATTTATTCCTTGTGACAAGACCTTTCTTTTGGTACCAGCATATTTGACCTTGGAGTTTGACCCGGCCACTTCTACAAAAAATGATCACACTTTAACCTTGGCCATAGCTTCTGAACAGTTAGTGCTAGGGCTTTTATATTTCATTTTTCATATGTATTCAGTTTGAATGGATATAAATATTTTTGACCTTGACCTTAGATTTGACCCATTTAAAAAATACATAACTCTTGGCCTTAACTTTTGAACAGTGAGCACTAGGGCTTTCATATTTCAAAGGTATATTCCTTGTGACAAGACCTTCCAGTTTGATATTTTAACCTTGATCTTACGAGTTTGACTTGCATTAGATAAACACCAACCCTCTCCATAAGCTGTCATACGGGGGCATCAGTATTTCACAAACAAATTTTATTTAATATTGAAAACAAATATTATTTTCAGTAGAAGATTTTTTTTAATATTGTTTATTCCTTATTTATACTATTAAGATATTATTATTTGATGTACAGGTATTTGAATTTCATGGTTTTATTTTAATGGATGGGACTAAAATTTAAAAAAATTATCAGGTAAATCAATTTGTTCCATTTGTTAATAGTTGAAAAGTAAAATAGTGTCAGTATTATACAGTATGCATTATTAAAGTTATTATTGGATTCAACGTATCTGCATGTCCATTTGTACTTAATTGTTGATCTCAGCCAAGTTTTGTTGAAATGTTCAGTGTTTGAACATATGTTAACTGTGCAATATGTGCACTGTTAATTCACACCTCTACCATATATTTATAACTGAGTGCTGTATTGTATTTTTTTGTGAATGGTTGTTGTGTGCTTAAGTTATTATGGATATCAGATTTTTTAAAGAAGAAATCATTGTCACCATGTCAGAGTCAGCTAGTGGTGTAATTAAATTAATCTAAATGTGTCAAATAATGATTGGGGTGTTCTGGTGTTGTGACTTGTCTTCATCTTTTTATCAGTTTATCAATTACATGTAGTATAAACAAAAATTATTTTTCATCTGTTTTGGTATCAGTGTAAATTAATGAAAAATATTTTTTATCTGTTTAGATGTCAAGAGAAAAAAAAAAGGTTTAAGTACATTTCAGGATATATTCTAATCAAGACTAGACATATTTACAAAGATACTTTTTATTTTGAATTTTGCTGTATTAAAGAGATCAAGCTTTTAATTTTATAGGTATCAGCTTAAAATCTGTTAAAATATCTTAATCTGCTTTGTTTTACTATATGTCAACTACAGTCTAAGCTAGTTGTTGTGAATGCAAAGATTTGATTCACATAAAATTCTGAATGATCATTAATAGACATTATTATTGCACGGACATGTTTGTACATACAGGCTTTTCCATTCATCAGGATTTTTAAAATACAAAATTAAATTCAGTCAAATAAGTGTTATACCCCACTGTTCAGAAGGGCCGCACTGACAGTTGCTGTGTGAATGTGATAAGATTAGCACTCCTTGCAAAATTTAAGCACTGATGTTCAATGTACATAGTAGATTAGTTTATCCTTTTGTATATTTTATTTAAAAATGTAGTATATCTGTTTGTTTATTGTTATGTTCAGTAATTAAATCAATATATTTAAACTGTGATAACATGTCACAATCAATGATGATATGCTAGGATTTTTACAGAGTTTTAAATTATTTATAAATTATTGTTAATTTCACACTGATTAAAAAACAGAAAAGAAAACATGCATAATTTTTTTCTTATTTTTCTGGTCTTCCATGAATGCCCAGCACATAATTCTTGTTATGTCCATTTTCTCATCTAGCTGTCCTTCCAACACACTTTGTGTTGACTGTATGTAGTTTGTTTAATACCCAGGAACAGAGAAAAGGATTTTAAAGAATGCATTTTCACTATATAAACAATACAGCCCCTCCCACAAACACCCGAACTCTGAGGCTATGAATTCACAATTTTTAGACCATTATAACTACGTATGTAGTTATTAGTTGATCACCTGAGCTAAAAGCTCAAGTGAGCTTTTCTGATCACCCACTGTCCATCGTCCGTCTGTCTAGCTGTCTGTACTTCTGTAAACTTTTCACATTTTCAACTTCTTCTCAAGAACCACTGGGCCAATTTTAAACAAACTTAGTACAAAGCATCCTTGGGGGAAGGGAGTTTAAATTGGTAAAATAAAGGGCCTAGTCTACCTACAAGGGGAGATAATCAAGATAAGGCAAAAATAGGCTGGGGTCATTAAAAAATCTTCTAAAGGACCACTGGGCCAGAAAAGCTGAAACTTATGTGAAAACAACCTAATTAAAATTAGATCTTAGATCTGCTCGCATACTCGCTTCACTAACATCTAACAACATTCCATTAAGGGTCACGTCATAGGTCAAATTCTATTAACCAATCAAATCGTCGCCTGCAAAATCATCGTATATTGTTGAAGTGAATAAGTCTAGAGGTGTTCCAAATTTGACCTCTGATGTGAACCTCTATGGGATGATATTAGATGTTAGTGTAGCAAGTATGCGAGAGGATCTAACATCTAATCTTAATTAGATTGATGTGAAAACATTCCTAAGGTTTGATCTAGTGTAGATTCTAAATTGTACAAATCATGACCCCCGGGGGTAGGGTGGGGCCACAATAGGGAATTTAAGTTTAACATTGAAATATAGAGGAAAAATCTTTTTAAAAACTAGACTGGGCCAGAAAAGCTGAAACTTGTGTGAAAGCATCATTGGGTAGTTTAGATTCTAAATTGTTCAAATCATGACCTCCATGGATAGTTTGGGTATCCAAGTTTAACATTGACATACAATATATAGGAGAAATCTTCATTTCAAGAACAACTGGGCCAGAAAAGATGAAACTTCTGTGGAAGCATCCTTGGATAGATTTTGATTTTTAAAATCATGTCCAGTGGGGGAAGGGCGGGACCACAATATTTGGAATCCATCAAGTTTAACATTGAAATATATAGGAAAATTCTTTAAAAATCTTCTTCTCGGAAACCACTGGACCAGGAAAGCTGACACTTTGTGGAAGCATTCTTGGGTAGTGTTGATTTATATTCTCCAAATGAAAGAAAAAGTCGGGAAGCTCACATACCCCACGCTCCCCAAAAACTCAAAGTGCTGAAATTGCCGGAAAAAATAAAGGAATCCCAATTTCCTGGTAATATGCACATCTACACATTGTGTACTAAATATATGCTAAGTTTAACAAAATTCTCTGCAGTGGTTTATGAGTAGTTGTGCTGACTGTTCATCTCTATATTCAAGGTATGGCAAAAAATCTAAGTTGAAAAGTGCGGAAATTCCCGCAAAAAATAAAGGAATCAGAATTTTCTTGTAATATGCACATCTACACATTGTATCCTGGCCTAAGGCTAAATATCTGCAAAGTTTGA